GCTATTATAGAACCGTACATGATAGTTTCACCTCATATGACTCATTGAGGGCCATAATAAATCTAAGGAGCGTCCCAGGATTATTTATCTTGATATGCACTGCAGTCCAACAAATGTATGACCTAAGACCGACCATAGACACCCAACAAACCCTATCTTCAAGATGACACTAATAATCGTCTGTAGGATCCCCCAACTAATAAATAGAGGACCTCGGGTATCACATTCTATCTCAAACTATATATTAATCAAGGTCAATCTTAAACTGACTTGAATGTCAGAGTTTTTTTTTTTTGTGCAGGTATTTGCTTGCCAAAAACATTCAAGCTCTCACAACTGTTGCACCTTAACTAGATTTGACCGTGATCGATTTTATTGTACAATCATACAAGATATAATTATTATTTATACTCTTGATAACCGATAAAACTACCACTATTTCACGCTTGGCTTGCTTATATCAATGATTTATGGATAAAAATCAACTAATACAAATTTCATAAAGTGTAAAAGAAAATGAAGTATTTATAATCACTCAATTCTTCTACTTAATTGCATACAGCATAATATTTATCAAACGATTAGCATGTTAAATGAATAAATTTCATTACATTAAATATTTCATATAATCCTTGACATAAAAATGTCTTATGTTAATATTAATTCGTAATATTTATTTTAAGAGTAATTTGGTATCGGTGTTTTCCCTCCATATATCAGAGTTAGAAGGAAACAAAATCTAAAAAAATATCAACGTGAAACGAGTGTAGACGTGGCAATCAAATTTCCGTACACGCGGCGATCAGAAGAGGGGGAAGATGAAAAGTGGACGGCAGGGATGGAAGTTTGAAAGGCGTTAATTATTGGAGGCACAGAAAGACTTGCTGCAGAAGCAGGAGGTTTGGTGCGTGCGCCCCACGCTCCTTCAAGGAGCGTTGTCTTTTCAAAATTCAAAATTTCGGAAACAGCGAAACTGAAAAAAGAAAAAAAGGGGGATTTAAAAGGAGTGTTTCTCTTAATAAAACTCAGTTCAGGTAAAAACGCGACGCGTGACTTATGCCAGCTGTATCGCAACGCCCCAACCGCTTGACGGGGAGAAGCGGTGGCACTTTACTGGAACGTTTCTCGGTTCCCTCACAAAACATCCAACCGGCTAAGTCGGTTGCCAGACTCATCCCTTTTATAAGAACCCCTGCTCCATTAACCCTATAGAGGTAGAGAGGAACAGAAATCCAGCAGATCGCTGAGCTCGACGACGCCATTAAAGCCGAACCAGTAACCGAAATCAACATTCAAACGAAACCATTCCCCTCTTCGATTATTCAATTTTGATGTTCTTTTAAAC